TTTGTTCTGTTAACATTTACCCATTTTGAGTCAGATCTCTATTTATATATATTCCAAAGGGCAATTAGTTTTGCTCAATAGTAAACTTTTGAATAAACTTTTTTGTACTTTTGAATGAAATTGCAACATGTTTTGTTTTGCAACATATCTATGACATTGTGTAACATTATTACCAGGATGGACAGCATTACAATAGTTGTCTGATGTAAAAGTCAAATTCAAAACCCTGTAAAGAGTTTTTGAGATAAGATTTGTCTCAGGTGTCAGAAAGTCACTTTGGAATTCTTCCTACTCACAAAATTATCAAACTGTAAACAACTGAGGGAACTCTGAAAAACATTTCTCCAGGTCTGAGGTGACCTGCTGATAAAAACTGGATTTTAAAAAGAATGTCAAGAATGAAAATTAATTTTTGACGTTTTATTGCTATTTTAAAAAACTAAAAATGTTCATTTAAACATCAACTGATGTTGCTGTAAACCCTAAGAAGAGGAAATCAGTCCAGCCAATTATGCTACTGTTTTCTATCTGAAGTATATAAAACACTGTAAAATGTTTTGTTTTTCTGTAATGTTAGAAATGCCATCAATAATCCCAAATAGTGCATTAGCAAAAGATGCTGTTTCAAAAGTTTAAACAATATCATCAAGACAAACGCATGCTGACATAAAAGTTTCTTTACCAACAAAGGGAATAAGAACTCTGTAGAAAATAACGAGGGCCATGCTGCATTAAAGTGGACAGTTTCCCATTGTTGGGTATGATTTGCTGAAATATTCTGTGTGTAACATTTTGGATGAGGAGAGTGAGTGTGTGCTGGATCAATAGAGAAATATGGAGGATAATAAAGGATCACAGCTACAAATGGATCGCTTTGTGGGCCTTCAGTTTCCATGGTGACTGTGATTATATTGCATGTAAGTGCTGTGAATGCAGGACATTTCCTGAAAACAGGTAGGAAACACACTCCACTCATTAGATTTTTTTTTTCCATTTTCTGCAGGATGATTAAAAAGACAGTCTTTTAAGACCCTTGAAAACAGTACTGTCTGTCCACTGTCTTAAAAGCATTTCATATAACGCTGTTGTTGCTCCTCAGCCTGCATCATAACTTTGTTCTTTGATCTGTTTCCCAACCTCCAGAAAAGCCATAAAAATATTCTGCAACATTTCACTGCCTTTTCAGCAACATATTGCTGATTGTAGCCATTTTTTTCAGTAGCTGACATTTACAAGCAGAACAGCTACATCATGATCAGAATTTTTTTTTTTCTGGAATTCAACCTGTAACACAAAAATGTTCTCTTATTCATCAAAATACAAGGCAAGGCTGCGAGGACCAACTGCTGCAGAAGCAGTGATACATTTGGCAAAGAAAATAATTATCCTTAAACCATAAACTACAAATCTACCAATGCAAGTATAATATGATTGCTTGTTATTTGCTGATTTTCCTTTGTGTTTTTTAGGCTATACAATTTATCCCAATGCAAAACATAACCAGTTATGTGGGAATATCTATTTTTCTTTTGTTCAATATCAAAAATTTATCATGTTATTATTTCGCAAATGCAATCTTGCTGACATTTTAAATAAATAAAACATCTATGCAACATTTTGGCTGAGCAGTATTTTCATTTTACTTACTTGTGAATTAGAAACTCTGTGCTGCTTCACTTTCCTCTACTATTTAGCCACAATGTGTTTTTTTTTCTTTCTGTTTCATAAAAGAAAACTCTGAAAATTACGTTATGAAGTTATGATAATGGACCAAAGTCACAGGACTCTAGGGTCTTGAAGATCAAAATAAAGAGGTAAAAAACATCAATAAGCCCCCTGGATGGTGTAGCAGCAGAGGTTTTGTCCCTTTGAGCCTAAAGATGTTGACCAGAGAGAAACTTTAACTGTTTTTTTTTTTTGGTCAAACCCAAGAAAATGTCAACATTTTATCTATTTTATTGTTTTACATTTCATTCCTTAAAAACTGTTTTACAAAGTGTCCAACAAGAGCAAATATGATTTTATTTCATATTTATATCTGCTTTTAATGAATGTGATGGATCCACAAGTACTTTAGCACTTCAGTCAGTTTTCATCTGTCACTGTGATGAAACCGTTCAGCGTTGTATTGTGATGTATTTACACAGTTACATAACACATTTTTCATTCCTCTTTGTGACACCAGTGACCATATTGTTGGATTCACAGGCCAGACTTCCTGATCATTGGATTTGATTTCTCTCCATCCAAATGTGAATCTCTCCCCTTCTGTCACTTTCTATATATTTCTGTCGCTGACTTAATTTGTCCACTTCCTTGCTGTTCTCGGCTAAGCCCCCAGTCAGTTTGGCATGGCCCAATCTGCAAAGTTCCCTGGTCTCCATCTATTACCGTCACAGATTTTCTGGACAGCAGGTGTGTTTTTCCGGAAGTCGGACCGGAATTCCTCCCTGGGATTCACTGGTTAGAACACAAACACATTGGCAAGCACATCCCTGCTCTTTATGGAGCAAACACGGAGACATATCATTTCTTCTTCTTTATTTATTCATATCAGAATCTGTTCAGCTATCCGCTTTTTCTCTCCTGGGTTGAAATCATCCCGATAAATAATTTAGAGTTGTTAAAAGAAAGGGACAGAAGAGGGAGAAAGAGATGTAGAGCTGAACTGAGAAAGGCAGAAGTGTAAACTTTGGATCAGAAAGTCATGGCTGAGTGTTTATGCAGAACTGAGTGCAGTGACAAACAAATTGCCAGTGATTATGCTAATTAATGATGCAGTGGAAGGTGTCAGATTTAAATGAGTAAAAGAAGGAATATGAAATTCTGACAGGAAAGAGATGGATCAGACCCAACCTGGGTTACATTTATTTTCTATTATTAGACTGTTTCAAGAACCTCACTGCTAGAACTAATTCACTGTTCTGAGTCTGATGGTGAGGACTCACCTGGAATTTGCCAAAATGCACAGAGTAAATCATGAAAGACATTCCTTACCTAACTCCTAAAGTTTAATCAACTTTAAAAGCTACATTATTATTAGAAATTCAGTGCTTCTGAATCTTTCCATCTTTGCCAAGTTCAACATGTAATAATCCCCATCAGGAAGTAATCCAAAACAGTTAACTTCCTCTTTGGTTTACAGTATACCTCCAAGATGCGTTTTTGTTATTTTTTAGACAAATCTGTATACTGACCGATTTTCATTACTCTACCTAAAATCGATCCTGTCTGAAAATGGTAGCTTTGGTCCACAGTGGCCATCTTCCTGTTGGGTTTAAGCCATGTGTAGAGGTGGCAAACAATCAAACAAGATTTTGAGATTGAATCCGCAACATTTTAATTTAATAATTGTTACAAAGCAACTCTGTTAGCGGTTATCGCTACACAACTGTTAGAAAAAAAGACTCACATAACGTCCGTTCCAACCGTCACCTAGCAACGGCGGACGGATATTAATCGCCCTCCGCAATCACATCAACTTGTAAGTAGCACACACACACACACAAAAACCCAACATTAATAAACACAAAACAGTATAATTTACCATGACTATTCCATGAAAATGGCTTGTGCGCCACACTTAGCTCCAAAAGACATCTGAGCTGTCAGTTTTGTTTTTGCCAATGACAATAAAAGCACAACAGTGTATCTGTTAGGTAACAAACATTCTTCCGCATATGTTGAAAATCTTTACAGAACTTATTTTGAGCTGTCCAATTTCCAGTGCAGCTCACTGGAAATTTGACAGAAATCTTGCTGTTAAGTCAAGATTTAACAGCAGTCGTGACAAATATCTCTTGTCTATCAATCCATGTTAAATGAGGAGTGACTCTTCATCATTGCCTTGTCTGACATGGGCTGCTTTGAAAATGTCAAAATCTCTCCAATTTCACAACCAATCAGAATTCCTGTAAATAAGTCACTGTCATGTTCCGTGTGTTGGGTTTCACTCCAGTAGTGATCAGCACCATTTGCTGCTGTTGTTTGATGCTCACAGTGTCTAAACTGTTATTGTTGGGTTTAAAGCACGCCTCAAAGAAGCTTTTCTGTTTGTCTCATTTATTTCTACATGCGTATGGATTTTCATAGCTCTACCTAAAACTTGACTGGCAAGATGCAGTCTGTCGGCTGTTAAGCTTGTTTTTAAATATTTTATTTTTTATTTTCTTTCAAATTTGATGTGATTTTGCATCACCTCCGATCCCCCAAAAAGCAATTCTTTTCATGGAATAAAAACAAGGTTATTCAGGGGAGACCTTCGCACCATCTGCAAATGCTTCAGCCTGATAAAAAAATAATGTCAATGCTCTGACATAAAACAACGTTGATGCATTTTAAATAAATTTTGTCTGCTCTCTCTTTGGAGAGCATAAGTGTTGTTTTTAAATATGTAACCATGAATGGAAGTTATTATGAACAACATACAGAAACATCTCCATCATTATGTTATCACAAAAGTCCAATTTCACTTATTGCCAATGTCAATGTAAATGTCAGTTTTGATTTATAAAGCACTTTAAAAACATATATTAACAAAGTGTCGTACAGTGCTGAAGTGACTTTTGCTTGTGTTTCTGAAGTTCTGATGAATCCTAAACTCTTTCATTCCAGTAGGAAATGGTTTAATGTCCAGTCAGTAAGTTTCTTGAAATCAGAAAAAACTTTTTAGTTTCAAGCTTCGGTCTGACATTAGCTTTTCTGTGATTGATTTATATGAAGCATGTGATTTATTTTACTTTATTTCTAGATCCCACTTTGTCTGCTGGGAAAGTGTATTTAATTTGATAAGGTTACATATCTACTTCATAACTTTTCCCTGCTACAATTTTATGATCATAAAAGCAAAACAGTGTATCTCTGTTAGTTATGTAGGTAACATGAACATTAAGCCTGATTTTTTTTCACATACATTGAAAATCTTATTTTGAGCAACATAAATTTTATGTAATTTTATTATTTTTTATTTTTATTTTTATTTTTATTTTTTACAGATTTAGATGTAAATAAGGTCTGCATTAGCCCTTAATTCAAGCTAGGCTGGAAAGGACTGTTACCCATTAGACCTTTTTCATGCTTCCGATCCACCACCAGAACAGAACAGCAACAGGAGAGAGAAAAAGACAGAGAGAGGGAGAGAGAAAGAAAGAGAGAAAGAAAGAGAGAGCAATGCTGAGAAGGAAAAGAGCAGAGAAGTCCAGTGCTGCAATGCAAAAAGAGGACCTGCAAGTACACTGCTGAATGAAAAAGATCATTGGTAGGGAAACAACAACCCATATGGAGCGTGTGTGCACTGACAGCTAGTTTAGCTGTTTCCCCTTTCATGTAAAACCCTGGTCTGTTTACTGGTTCCGGGACCCGACCAAAACCCCTTGATGTGGCTACCATGAGACTTCTAAGAAGGATTAATGCAGAAATGTTGTTGTGACAATGCACTTAGTGTCAGGAAGAGCAGGAGTTTCTCAAAGATGCAGAGACATAATTCAAAATAATTCAGTTGCACAATTCCATTTCTTTTAAGTCATGTTTGATATGGTGATTCTCACGAACCCAATCTTTCGACTGTCTTGGAAGATTTTTGGATCATACTCATACAACTAAATATAATTAACTTTATAATCATTATTTATAATATTTGGCACAGGTAATTGTTGGCTAGCAAAATTATTTATTAAATGTTTTTTAAATAATTTTGGACTCACATAGTCATTATCATAATGCGTCTGAAGTACAAAAGAAATGCTGTAACCTCAATTATACCATTATAAGCGAGCTTGTGTAGATGTCATTTATTATCGTAATGCATAAATTATATTACTGTGTAATTGCCGTATTAAACTATACAGTGTCTTTTTGAAATGATAAATAGATAAATGCATAGTGCATTTAAGCTTTAATTCTTTCACCTTCCAGTTAATTCATTGGAAATTCACTGCACTTTCACTGCACTGGAACTTTCACTGCAAATTCCAGTGAAATTGAAGTTTCACTGGAAATGTCAATTTCACTGCAAATTCCAGTGAAATTGAAATTTCACTGGAAACTGCTTGTGTGTTCAACCATTGTTTGTGGTTGATTTAACCCAAGTTGTATTTAAGGTTATTTGAATAACCTCAATTACAACAAGGATGGATGTGACAGTGACTGGAATTGGGAGTCAGTATAATGAGCTCTCATCTTTATGCAGACAACGTGTATGTAAAACTGAAGAAGTTTGTTTTTATTTTTTTTTCCTGAAGAAAAGAATAATTTGACAATTCACTGGCCATGTGAGCAAGTAGGATCCATCAACAAAAAGGTGAAGAATGGTAGCCCAGTGTAAAGACAGAGAAATAAAGCAGAAATTCCCAACACCTATTTTATTTTTTGTTATTTAGCCACATAGAGAGGTGTACATCAGAATATGGTCTGAATGCACTTCATTGATCTTATTCATTTCAGAAGAGAGCAATAAGAATAATAAATCAGGTATAGTTTCCAGAACACAAAGATTTTGATTTTAAGATTGCATATGCTAAAATTTATGAATCCTGTAGAATAATGGGTAGCACAAGAATACTGGGTAGCACAAGGACTTGATGTGTTACATTGAAATACAGACTTATATCTGGCAGCAGCCCAGGAAGGTCGTGTGAAAAATGGTTGAGTTCTGCGACTGGAAAAAGCGAAGGAGAACTGGGGATTGCAAGCACAGAGCAGGATCCACTGTACCCCCACAATGTTTACATGTTAGTCAATGAGTCCTTTAGAATATTGACAGTTAAATGTTTTATGACTGTTTCTAAATATGATGAAAATTTAGATGGTGGTAGATGAAGAGGCTTATGGTTCCAAGAGGAGTTTGTAGCCTCTAGGTGAGTAAGTCCCAGAATAGTGTCTTCTCCGAATAGAAGACACTATTCGGAGATGGAAGGGGCGAAGTGGCAAGTGATTCTGTTCTTTCCTCAGTTCTAGGGAGATGTGTTGGAGATGTTTGCGTGTTATAGGATGGATGCGACAGTGACAGCTGATGCAGACTTCAGCTTATGGATTGCGGAGGTGCGGCAAAGGCGCTGATGAGGATAACTAGGAGATCGAAGTCGGAACTGAGGAAGACACCAGAGAAAGGTCCAGGTTAGAAAAAAAAAAAAAAACACAAAATCTGCACACTGCTTTTGGGATCACAATACTATGATTTGCTACCCTCAAAAACACAAATAATATGTAATGATGAACATATGAGGTTATAATTTAAAAGGATTTGCAGAAGTATTTAAACCCTTTACGATTTCCACCTTTTGTGATATTGCAACTCCAAACTTGGGTTATTATTGAAAATGCCAACACAAAGAACAGCATAGCTGAGAAGTATGAGAATAACATGTGTATTAAATTTCCATAAATCAATAATTTGTGAAACCAACTTCAAGACTGCAGCAGTGTGTCTTAACCGACGTTGGACTTGTGGATCTTTTTGCTTGTTTTCAAAATAGCTCAAGAAACAGTCAGACTGGACAGAAAATGTGGAGTCTGCAAGTTTTCAGACTAGACAATTTTCAATCAATTCTTCGAATCTGACCTATTCCCTGTTGGATTTTGATCTGGAATTTGAATGAGCCATTCCAGTATAAGAATAAGGCTGCAAATTTAATGAGAATCAGCATAACTGTATAAGCTTTTTTACAGAAGGTGCTATAGTTTACATATAACATCTCAGTTGGTGGTGAGAAGTTTCAGACTTTTAGGGTTTTGGTGGAACATCAGAGACATACCATCTCAACAAAGGAGACATTGTGCTCTCATATCATGTTTGTGAAACAGACTGTTTGGCATAGAAACTTGATGTTGGTCTAACTGGACACATTTTAAGAAAGGTAACTATTACTACAACTAACTTTTCAAGTGTTTTACTTAGGCATGTATTTGTTGACCTGAAAGTGACTTCCCTGGGAAAAGATGTAAAATAAAAATGTGATTAAAGTGAGTATAAATGAAGAGCCAGCAATGTCAAGATTAAGCACTTTGTCACAGACTTTGGCGACACAGAAATTGAGGTTCCCATTCAGCTTGCATTATTGATTCCTGACGTTACTCCATCCTGACTAACTTCTCCCTTGTTCCCTTTTCATCCTTTAATTTGATCTCCTTCCCTCCCTCAGAGACACTCTTCATTGAGATGCTCTCCTCTTCCCCACATCCATCAGAGCATTGCCTCCTATTCTATTTCTTTTTGTCTCATTACTCTAACTAATTAGACCCAAACGAGCCTTTACTCATGCATATCAATGAGACTCTCACACATGTACTGATCTGTAAAGATGTGTTTGATTTATTTGTGTGTTCGATTCTGCATGCTTTCTGCAATCCAAGCCCATAAAAACAGTTGAGAGCTATCGGAGATTCTGTTGTATCCACAGTTTCTTAATAGGATTTCACTCAGTTTTGATTATTTTCAGTTATGTGATTCAAATACAAATTGAAAGTTTTTAAGCTTCTTTCATCTGAAAATGAAAAGTAGTGAATGATTAAATTGCTAGTGTGTTCAACCATTGTTTGTGCTTGATTTAAACCAAGTTGTACAACAATTAACACTCAAATGCATTATTAGGTCTCTCACAATCCCACTTCAACTGAACTGGACTGAAGAAGATTTGGAAGATTCACCAAATGCACCGCCTAGGAGATGGGTGCAGGACCAGCTTGAGGGCAGAGATGACACCAACAGGGTGGCAGTGCTACCAACACCAAGCATCAATATGATGAGTAGGGAGTCAGAATGTGTTGCATGCAGCTTTAATTTAAATTGTTTTATTAAAACTGCAGTAGAAGGTTTGTAGAAGAAACAAAAAATATAATTTGCATTTTTAATAAAACATATAAATCATTCCAATTAGTTAAACTTTTAAAGCTGAGTCAAAATTATAATGATCTGTCACTAATATGTCAGAAATTACAGCAAGCATCTACAAGACACAAGAAAAAGAAAAGAGAAATGTTTTACATGTTTCAAATTGTCAAAAAAAAGTTTTTGTATGAACAAAGCAATACTAGACAAGATGTGAAGTTTTCACTAGATGAGGGTTATCATAACTCCCAAACTAAGTCACATGAACCCTAAAATACAGGCATCAGACCACTCCATCTCTGCACCTCTCACTGTGGTCAACTCAGCAGAACCTGATCCAAAGTCCCCAGGCTCTGCTTCATCAGTGGAAGATGTGATGATGGGTTTGAGGAGGTTTTTGAAGTACTCTGCCCCTTTGAATTTTATGTTTTGAATTTTCTTCAACTTAAGAGATTTTTTCAAAATTTGTCACAATTTCTTCGCTGTCTTAGTTTGGTTTCACATCCAGGTCCATCATGTTTTTGAGAAGACTGGTAAAGACACTTTTTTGAAATATTTGTGTTGGCAAAGTGTTAGTTGTGGTTGTAAAGATAGCTCGCAAACCTGTGAACAAGCAAAACCATCCAGATAGATTTGATCATGAGGAACATTGACACTTTCAAAAGCAGCAAAGTCTTCTGATGCCATTACTGTCAAATCCGTAGTTGTGGTTTGATGGTAACTTTCTCATCCTTAGAGGAATCTTCCATGTCCTTTTTGTCTTCAGTGTCAAAAGCAAAGTATTTTGATCTCTCGTCCTCAGAGTTCTCTACTAAACCATCGTTGCCTCTTATGTTTTATCCTAACAACTTTTCAACTCCCTTCGTAACAAGAAATCCAAGGTCCCATAAATATCAAAATCCTCTTGACTTGATGTTCAGCTAAAATGGTTTGTAGAATCAGTTTGAAGTCGTCTCTCAGGAATCGATCTGCCTCCAACCAAGTTGAGAAGCAAACTGAGAATTCTTGAATTCTTGTATCTTTGTGAACATTTATGACATCATCGATAATGACATAGAGGTTCTCATTGACATGATGATGTCAAACAACCTGGGCCAGGTTCTTGTTTGTTTTAGTTGCTATGGAAACACAAGGAATCTTCTATAATTCTGTTGTTGAGAGCATCATCTTTTCATTGATCATTTGTTGGGGCAGCAGCATCAGAGCAAAATCTGTGCAAAGGTTCACTCTGATAAGGAATGCAATAGAAATATCATTTTGAATCTGTGACATCAGAAAAACATACATATTTTTTATAAGAAAAATGCCACTGCATTATGCCACAAGGGCATTTTTGAGATTCCTTAGCATTCATTTAGCCCTGCCCAAGAGCTTCTCTTGGATGTAATCTCTTTAGATGTAGTATTATTGCAACAATAAACTGTTTTTTAGAAGATTAGTGCAGACTGTGGTAATGCATTATTCAAAAGCTGTGCCACAAATTTTAATTCAGGTGAATTATCTGGGGTAGTTTCTTTGTGTCCCTGTATCTGAAAATAACACAGATGACAGTGAGTGTTTTAAATATGAGTGTTTTAAAATAGGATAACTATTTTTAGTAAGTTGAAAGTGAAATTTGGAGACAGGAAGAATAACTGATCTTCCCTCTAAAGTCTGTTATTTAATCTGTGAATCCATGTATTCTATAGGAACCTTTCTGGTGTGCATCAACTTTGTTTTCTATTTGTTTGCCAGGATTTTGATTCTGTTTTATTACTAATCAAATCTAAACTGAGCTACATTTCTAAAAGATTTCTAGAGTTCTAAAAAAACTATTTGTAGCTTTCAGTCTGGCAAACTTTAAATCCTGATGCTCCATCCACTCACCGTGTTGAGTGACCTGGTCTGAAAATATGTACTTCCTAAACTGTGAAGAAGCCCAGAAAAGATTAGTTATTTTTATCTAACTACAATACAAACCCAACAGCAGGCTGCAAGCCAGCCCTGAGCTGTTCACAGGGTTCTTCAAAACTTCTTTTTTGGAAGTGTATGAAATCTTATTTTAAAAGAATGAAGTTACGTTTGAAGTTAGCACTCTTAGTCACACAGGCAAAGAATTGTTTATTCATGCATTAGTTTGCTCTGGGACCTTACAGCATTTCCTCTTTCAAAGCTTATTTTTAGTACTTTTAAATGTTGTGCTTTGGAACTTTTTATATTCCAAACAAATCAGCATGTGTGTTTTACAGACTGAAAAACATATACTGTTATTATTAATCACTTTATTATGATTATTATTATTATGTAAATGAGCACATCTAATGAACATGACAAATAGCTTTTCTCTGTCTTTGTTTTATTTGAGTTTTCTTGTTAATTCTGAATCTTAAATTTATCCCTGAATGATTTATCTATAAAATATGGCTGTGCAAAGATATATAACATACATAATATTATGTATTCATTTATTCATTTATTTGAGATGGTTATAGTACTAAGCCTTGTTGGCTGGGTTTTGTGTTCTTTGGTTTGCATTTTGTTTCTTCTTATTGTGCTGATCCCAGTCTCTCCAGTCTGCTATCTGTTCACAGCATTTTCTTGTGTTTAAACTGATATTAGAATCCCGGAATCTCAATGGATTGCTGTACTTACTTGATTATTAATGTACTTTTCTTCATTATCTATAATATCATTACTAATTCTAGCTCATTTTTAAATATTATTGATTCTTTTACTACTTGGTAAATATTATCAGTATCATTCTGAAATCTAAATTAATGTATTCAAGTATTTAATCTAATTATGTAAAAAATACATAAAATAAATTACTAGTATTTGGCAGTTGAATAATCACATTTGGGAAAATATTTTACCCCCTCACTAACATGTAGGCCTACTTTCTATATTCTAACAAATGTGTATATATATATATATATATTTATTTATATATATATATATATATAAACAGAGCACTTGAGCCTTGCAATCGTGTTTCCTATCTAACACTCATTTCCTGCATCCTGCTGAGCTACAAGCTGGCCACTCAAGTGCATACGCATTGTAACGCATGTACACACTGTTTTCACATGAAATGATGAAGTCACGTGTTAAAAACAGCAGAGTAAACATGGACATTCACAGAAATAACTGATTCCAAGCAAAAACTACATTTAAAACCAGACGTTTGCGTACACCATATAAAAAGACACCTATGTGGGGTTTTTTCATGCTGTTTAATGTGAAATTTTAATCTTATAATTTTTCTGGTTTTATCAGATTCCTAAATTTTATTCTGTTAACTGCCAGAATAATGAGAGAGATTTTTTTACAGAAATGTTTATTTTATTTTTCTCAAATGTACCAAAAAACTTCATATTTAAAATCATTGTGTGATCTGTGGTTTGGATGTGACGTACTAGAACCAAACTTGTTTTAAACATAGTGATGAGTGTTGTCAAATTCTCATTCCTAAAAGATCAGCTCTTCATGTCATTTTTTACTTACACACATGTCTGTATTGTTACTGATGAACTTGTTGACAAATCCTCTTTCTATACATCTGCATTTGCCTCCAATTTCAGTACCAAAGAAATGAACAAACAAGACTCTTCTTTTACAACTGGTATATGTTGATCATCATTTTTAACCAGATATAAATTTGTTGTTGTCAATATTTACCTCCATTCTCAAGCATCAGCTGAACCACTTTTGAATTTTGTAAGGAACAATCATTGCTTCATGTTCTGATTGTGTTGAAGCAGGTCACAGTAAATCAGGGCTTTCAGAGAAATACAATCTTTCTATCTCACTCTCTCACAGTTATATCTGCCACTTTCTTTTCTTAGTTATTACCCCCTTCCCAACACCCCTTGTGTGCTCACCCAGAGGCAATGAGTGACTTGAAGGGCAGAGGGTGAAAACACATTAACCACAGAGAGCAATGGAGTGGCAGCTAAAGTGCAGAAGGAAATAGAGAGATATACCATGTAAAAGAGATAGGAGGAAAAGATTGTCTTTGATATTGATCTGGTAATCCTTGCAGTGGTCTCTAGCAATTCTAATCTTCCTGCTACATAAGACGAGGAGACTCAGGGAAAGGGCGAGAAAGGCCGAATAGAGGGAGGGAGAGCTAAAGAGAGGAGGGAGTGGAGCATGAGGAGGAACAGTGCCATCCAGTGGTGGACAGAAATGCACCAAATGAACCTTAAGAGTTTCTGCTTGTTTATATATGAATATGAACAAGTCCTTTTATTCTATAAGCTACGAACATGTCTGAAATTCTGAGCAAAAATTTTGTATTTACTTTCAGAAAATGAGAAATGGTCAAAATAATTAAAAAGATGAAATATTTCACATTTCAATTAATGCAAAGAAAACAAGTTCATGTTCATTTAGAAACAACAATACTGTTTCAGCTCAAGAAGAGTTCAGAATGGAGGAATTACCTTGAGGTTTTCAATTCAGTGAAGTGGTCTTCTAATTTTTTCCATACCTGTATACATACACACACAAATATATATATGAGAAAGAAAGATTTAGATATAGATATATCTATCCTGGTGTCCGCACCAGAACCAGTGTCTCCATAACCTTCAAAATGTCAGAGGTCAAAGCTTTTTGGTTCGGCAACCTTTAAATACAATAACCAGCTAATTTTTTCTTTTTTTTCCCTCCCCTCCAAGAGGTTTTTTACGGACTCTAGTGTCCCTCACATGACAGTAGGCCGACAGGAAGGGGGCAAAGAGATGGGGGAAGACACGCGGCAAATATTGCCGGATCCGGGAGTCAAACCCACAATGACCACGTCGAAGACCAAAGGCCTCTAAACGTGGGTCGCGCTATCCCCTACGCCATCACAACACGCCCCATAACCAGCAATGACAGCTGATTTTCTTCACTTTTTAAAAGAAATTAGGGTTTTAAAAGACAATGGCCTTTAAAAAGAGAAGAAATGTACTTTAGAGTCCTGCAGTGGTTTTCTGGTCTTTTTTTCA